CCAGAATGCATGCACCAGCCCCCTGTCAAACTAAATTAGCTCAAAGAACAATGCAAAGTCTGCGCGAAAGAGTTCCAACAAGACGGTGGCAAGTGATGAGCTGGTGGAACTCATAATTGTTTGGATCAGATTGCCAACTGAAAAATTCTCAGCTTGGCCTTGTAGTATGCTCTAGTAATTGCATCGTATTCCTCTTGACCTGCTGTGTCCCACAAAAGGAAAGTCACCTCCGGCGCACAACGTGGCAAAGCTTCTGCAAAGGATCTCAAAGCTGAAAACTTTGATCCATCCAAACCGGTGACAAACTATTCCAATGCCTCTTCTCCGATATCTTTCAAAAATGTCCGCTTTTCAAGGAAGTCTACACCTAGGCCCAGGCCATTGGTTGCCGTGTCAATATGACTGGTTTCTGTCAAAAAATCCTCTTGGCATCTGGCCAATGGTCTTCTTATATTCATTTGTAAAAATGCCCTTCGCGAAACGTGTGATCCTGCATCAGCCCATCTGCGGAATGTGTTGCTAACGAACGAAAGTAAAGAATAAATGTTCTGAAAGTAAAGAGTAATCCAACACTCAGAACCGTCTGTGATGGTAACTGTATCAGAACCGTCTGCTCAGTAGCACACATCGACGTCTTGCCGACTTGCCCGTTCCCAACGACAATCACCTGGAAGGCTTCCCAGGACTTGCCAAACGGATGAGCGAACAGCAACGGTTCTGTCTGTGTGCTATTCTTCTCTTTTTGCCCGTAGCCCTTGGCCCTGCCTCCTTACTTAATTCAGTAGGTGTATATTTAATTAAGTAAGCGAGTAAGCTCCTAGCTACTAAAGCTTCTAAAAACTGGACCGGATAGCTGACGCACTGATGATTTGGCTCCCAGTATTTTTGGGAAACATTATGCTTCTGGTATTTGCGTCTCACTTTCTTGGCAGAACAACAGATCTGTTTGTTTAAGGCTCACATAAGCCAAATTCCTCATCTTGAATAAGCAAGCAGATTGGTCTCCAATCTGTTTGCATCTGCCAACCATGCCTTGAGTGTAATGTCCACATCTTGCTCGAGCATGGCTCTGTGCTCGCAGATTGCGACGGATAGTCCTTGGCTCAAGCTGCATCAACTAGTCAGTCTCTTACAGTATATAGATGGTAGGACAAAAGCCTCCAAAGGCACAATTTTGCAGTTCTTGGCAAGCTACCAACTTTGTGCTGAGAGTCTATCCGGGTCACTTCCAACTGTGTCACTCTACAGACCAAGGAGGGTGCAGCTCGCAAAACAAATTGACAAGAGAGGATTGTCCTGCTGTGCATGTGCTGACTGCTAGCTGCTTATTAGAATAGGTGAGCCGCTAATGATGGGTTGCGTTATGGAAAATGCTTTTGACTTTTGAGCCTTTGAAGTTCTTTTAAAGAAGTAGCAGACTCTGGCATGTGATTCCAAGAGCTCAAGCTACCGCATATCATTCAAAGGAAAGCCGATCAAAATGATTTCCTTCGAGCAAAAGCGGCAAGCATACTTCAATGTGCCATGAGCACTCAAGTAGCACAAAGCACTGTAGTGTTCAATCACTTGCAGGCTGCTCAATCCAGAAAGCCTTCCAATGCATGTTCTTCCTCCTCTTTCTCTCTGCGGAGCCTGGCAATAGCCCCGCTGACTTCAGAACATGGTCAGCATGGACAATAGAGCCGGTGACATGCTCAAATCTGCTTTTCTCCCTCCTTCACTGATGCTGTGACCACCTCCTACATCGTGCTTGTGCCACTGCTTGCGCCACAGAAGGCTTTGCTTACGCGAAGAGAGTTTTTTGCTCGTGCCACCCACCCCTCCCCAGCCCCTCCAACCCAGGGATGAACTCCGTCCGTCGAATCTTTTTTGCATGACATGCAACATGGTTTGCCTGCGAGCCCCCAGCCCCACCGCACAACACCATTATACGTTCAAAAACAAATAAATTCCGATACATTTCTAATGACTCCCCTCTTCGAGTGAGGGAGTTGCGCGTTTACATTGAACCGACGATCGAAGCCCGAAACAAGCTGGAAAACTGTAATACCTCAAATTGCCTTCTGTTCATCGCTTTGCGCGCTGCTTTGTTCAAAGGCTGCATCTCCTTCGCTGGCTCTGCCTCACCATTCAATGTTGATGACAAGCAAACAAACTACATGCACGCAAAACCCTCGACATCTCAGCAAGGGTGGCATGAAATCCTGCAAGCAAATGCCTATTTCTTGCTCCGCAAGCCCACCTTCGTGAGTGTCGCACCAACACCCAACCGTCCTGACCTTCGACAGCAATGGAGCAGTGCCAAAATTATTTGTGTCTTCTCATGTCTTCTCCGTATTCAGTCAGTGATTGGTTGCGGCTGTATCTAGGGAATTGCAGTGAAGCTTGAGTATGAGGCTCATGCCAAGTCAAAATCGGAGGGTTGGCGTGGCTCAAATGATAAAAAGGCTTTTGAAAAGATAGGCAGGGTCTTCCACAGCCAGAGAAACGGCCAGTTAACATATTAGAATCAGTTGAGAATTGACCCGTACCTCTGCGGTGCTGACGCAACAGAAGCAAGCCACGCTGCATCGCCTAGACGAATGATTTTTGATCTCATCTTGTGCTTGCAATTGAAGCTTGTTGTGGCACGTTGAGGGTGTGGTCATGGAGTCATGCCGGACCCTTTGCATAAAACCGCTGCCTTGGCCGTTGCCTTTAGAGGATTCATAGTCTGCAAACCTGCGAGGCACTAAGACACCAAGTCTGTGCTCTGGGAAACAATAGAGTCCAACTTGCAACTATCTGGTATCATTGCACTGAGTTTGGAAGACAAGCCGCGCACCAAGATGAGACTATAGCCTCATCTGGGTCTTCAAATTCCGGCAATGGCGTAAAGGCTTCCTCCTTCACAGAAGCCACAAGCACACGAAGAGAGTCTATTCCTTTATTTGGAGGGAGGGAGTCCAGGAAGAGGAAAGCCAGGAAGATAGTAGTAGGCAAGTGGTTCCTAAGATTTTAGGGAAACTTAACTTGGCCAATCAAAAGACTCCTAAACCAAACACTCCTGTCCTTTTTGATTGACGTTCCCGGTCTGCGAGGCATACCGCAAGCTGGACCATGTCAGCTGCATGTTTTTGCAAATCTGAAGTTAGATGCAGGTGTTTTAGCTCTTGATGATCTGATAGAATAGTAAAACACATACCAGCCCATATCCCATACCCGCAAAACAACAAATGCAAAGGCGTCAAGTGAACTTGGGAGCAACAAAATGGACGACAGCTCAATCTCATCTGCTTCAGTCACCATTCCTTCTTTACTCGAAGAAAAAACACATGACTGACCAGCATAACCCTAGAAGGTGAAAGCAAATCTTTTTGTTGTGGGGCTCGGGCAACTGCAGTAGATAGTGGAAAAGACCAGCGTGTAGCCTCTCGTAGCTAGCTGCTAAGCAGCTGCTGGTTGCTAGTTACTGCTAGTTGTCTGAACAGAGATCAAAAGACTTTAACTGATGAGGTCCAACCTTCGTGAGGCATTTCCGTGAGGCTTTGTAATTCTCCATGCCGCAAAGAGCTTCCAAAATGATTCCGTGAGGCACTTCCACATAGCAACCCTGCTCGCAGAAGTCTGTGTCAGAGCTGGGCCCAAAGGGGCACCGATCTGGCCACTGTTCGAAGCCAGGTCCACAGCACCACGAACGACAAATAAAAGGCACTCCATCACGCTGCCATTTCTCAACCAGCGGATCCAGTGAATCAAAGACCAAGCCCAAATGATTGTCCATGAATTGATCAAAGCGGCCTGTCTGGCTAAAATTACCTCGCCATTTTTCCACCAAGAGCCCAAGCTCTGTTTCATTCATAGGCGCTTTTGCTGGCAGTTTGTGAGGATTCTTCACAGAATGAATTGAGAAGCCAAGAGGCTGCTCCAAACTTGGAGGAAAATATGCATTCCATGTCATTGGCTCTTCAAAGGCTGTATCATTGCAGTGTGTGCGCTGCTTGCCATGTCCAGGTTCATGGTTACACCACCCTCCAAAGTAACTGGCAACGAAATAAGCAGCGGCTTTTGGATCGCCTGTAGCGTATGTGTGTTTGTGAACATACTTGAACCGAGCTCCACCGGCAGGAGTAACGTCTGGTCTCGAAGAGATCTCAATTTTCCTGAATTCCCTTTCCCTTCTCTGGAGCTCTCCTTCTAGTGTCCTCAACGCCTCACGAAGTTTCTTCGTACTCCAAGAATGAACATCTTTGAACACATCATCATGCTCATGAAAAGTTCTTTGCTTGGTTTGTGCAGAGCTCCTCATATCCTCTTCGTCTGCATGTTCTTCTCTTCTAGTTGAAAGAAAGGTGTCGCTTTTCATGTCATTGATGTCGATGTGATTGTCGTCATCATCGCTCCAGCTTTTAGTGTCCATCAAACGTCGAAGCCAAAGGCTACAACCATCTGCTGGGGTCTGTTTTGCGAAAAGAAGGCAGCCAATTCCAAGAACAACGCAAAAAAGGCCAGAAATCACACCACTCAGAAAGCTGGCCATTGCCCTGCGCTACATTAATTGAAAGGGCTTCAGCTATTTGAGTCAAGTGCTGTGCTCAATACGAGACACATTGACGCCACCTTGCCCCATGAACAACATTGGTGTGTACCATGCATGGAGTCACATACCGCAAAGGTATAGAGTCACAAGTCACAACAAAATTCAACCTCTGTGATCAAGATACTTTTCAATCAAGCAGCACATACATTGTAGTTCTTTCAATAGCGGGACGAGCACACTGAACACTGCTTGTCGCTTGGATAGTTTGAATTGCCTTTCGAGAGGCAATGTTTGTGATACGGCAGGCTGCGCAAGGACAAGCCTGTTTTTGTCGCAAGGTGACAACTTCTAGCAGAAGCTGCCAAATTTGCTAGATGCTAGCAACAATTTGTCAATGTCCTTAAACTTTGCCTTGTTTGCAGTTTTCTAGCTAAGTTGTATTTGAGCTACAGCGCTGCACTTGCTGCACAAAGGCGGGACTTCAACCCCGGCTTCCCATCAAAGAACCCAGCAGCTTTTGTTTTGCGCCTTGGCACATGACAGAACACCAAAGTCACTCAAAAAGGCGTTCACAGGCATGAGCTCATGTCTACAAGAGCTGCGCTGCTGACTTTGGGTTGCTTTCTGGAACATCTGCTCTGCCTGCCAGGTGAGTGAGATCTAAGAACACTCAACTGCACAGATGATTGATCAAACCCAACTGAGAACACCGAATATCCCATCCCTTGGTCATAAAGTTGCTGTTTTGCTGGGCTGTTATATGTTCAATTCGGTCTGCTCAATTGTTCTCGGACAAACACAAGTTTCCTGCAGTCATGCCTGCGCGCTTTGGGTGACCTCTGTTTCGTCGATCATCTTAATCCGAGCAGATATCTTTTCATCGTCAGTCTCCATAATGACGCCATTGTCTGTCACCTGGCTTGGTTCAACATGGTCTGACAGCGTGAAGACTAACTCGCTATCTCCCACTGCAAACCTCGTCTAAAATAAAGAGCACATCCGACAAGTTGTCAAGCACGAGTTGCTTGCTGATGCCGGAGGACCTTGACATCTCAACTCCAAGGGTGGTTGAAAGCAGGACTCACAACTCACAAACAAAGTCTTGGAGCAATCTTTCAGGCATTGGTCGATTATTCTCAGGAAAGATCTAAGGCACAAGCAAGAAGCTCTGACTTTGGCATGCGCTGGACAGTGCATTGAACATGCCTTCAGCCTCCGTGAAGGGTCAGCTGCATCAGCAAACAAGGCACACCGTACTCAGGAGAGTGCCAGCTCAAGCACGACGAGTTCATTCTCACTGCCAGCGGCAACAGCAGCGACAACTACGTCATTGCAAGCCTGGCCAAAAAAAATGTTTACGCATGCCTTCCTTCCAGTCAAGTTTTGGCCTGAAAAATGACCGTATAGTCATCTATGACGGCCACATCGACATCGCTCCGAGTTGCAGATGGTTTTGGCAGTTTGTTGATGACCTTAGTGCGACGATATTTTTGGATACAACCTACAGCTGGATTCTATTCCCCCAATGTGTTGCTTTCCCACCGTCAATCCGGCTACAGCACTAGTTTTTGACTGGAAAATGTGTTTTTCACTGAGAAGCACTTGAAGTGCCACTCTAGAAAAACTATACATATATATATATTATATATCTAATATTATATATATATATTATATATCGTATATATAATGTATATTATATATCCTCTAAGGCTTAAGGGTCACGCTCTTTTCTCAAAAGCCACTTGTTGCTTGACACTTGGCCACAGCTCCTCAACTGTCCACATGTCGCTAAACAGTGCTTGCAATTTTCTCTGAACAGTCCTTGCGAGCCAGCGAGTTGTATTTCACTGCTAAACGCCCACCGTCCGTGTCCAAGACTAGAAGCGCCTAACACAAACTAAGCAAAACCAAATGGCAAACCCTTGCAGAAGTGATCACAAATCCGTCCACAAAACGTTCTTTGAACTAAAATACATGAATATAACCCCACAAAGCAAAGCCAAGTCACCAAAATCTGCACCAAACCCTCCTCTGCCATGGTTCCCTGACGGAAATGGTTTCACTAGCTGAAGCCGAAATGATGCGCAACACAGACTGCAAAAAAATATACAGTTGTCATATAGTTTAGTCGAATATGATATTGATGGAACTGAATGTTTTAATGAGTACGTCGTGACCCCCAACGCCAAAGCAAATCATCAGAACCACTATGTTATGTTCCAAGAACGATTGAATAATCAAAAAATTCCCGACTTCTAAATGATACGAGCTGAAGGAAAATCCCACAGAAGTATCTTCACTTTGCACATGTTGCATGTATATTATAGATTGCGAACTTTATCGAACTTTTCTCTTGAACAGAAAGGGTTCCAGTAGGTCATACTACACAAGCTGTAATGCTAACGATGTTGTGAACATTTGCTATGCCTTACACTGAAAATGTTTCACACTCCTTCTGGGTAGTGTGAGCGATCGAATTGTTACTTTGAGTACACTCTGCCACCAAAGCCCGCTTTCTTACATCCCTTGTCTACAGGCTTTCTCTTTTCTCTAAAGAACGGGGTTCCAAGAGATTCTTGGTACTGGTCTTTTTGGTTTGTCTCTTTTCATCACTGCCATTTCAAGCAACTCGTGACACTTATCCATGTCCTTTTCAACTAGTTTCGCTGTTTCTTCTTGTCTTTTCCATAACCGTTTGTACTGTCTATCGCTGAGCTGCTTAAGTTTTTTTCCAATCGACCACGCATTTGGCGGGCCTGTTCTACCTCATCCCCTTCTCTGATTGATAGCTTTCGATTTTATTTCCTGGCTTGAAGGCTCTTGTCAATGGTCCTTCTGAAGGTATTGTTCCCTGATTGGATGCTTCTAACATCACTCTATGGCCTTCATACTGTCCTTTTGTTGATATCATGTCTTCCAAGCTCCTTCCGGGTGATTAGGCCTTGAGTGTTTGGTGTTTTTCCTCTACAAGTCTCCATTGAGAATCAATGCACTGTGAAATCTCCTGGCACAATCTCTGAGTAGATCTATCTGATGTCCATCATTTTTCACAGCCTTTGAGCAAACTCTCAAGCTCTCAAATTTTATCATTTAAATTTCTACTTGATAAGTAGTATCCATCGCGTGTTCATGGCGCGTTTCCATATGCTTGCAGAGCTTCCATAGTACAAATTACACCACCGTAGACCCCAAACAGTTTGTGCTTTTCAAATCGAAACTAGAGCTTGCGACGTCCAGAGCTGGGAAACAAAGGATTGCGTACAGAACGGGCGGACACATCTTAAGAAAGAATTGAGAACCCCCAACAGCAAACCTTTTGGGGAATTATTCTTCAAGCGCGAACATGATGCTGGTCATGCTGCTCAATCAGCGGGGAGCTGACCACGTGAGGACAAGAAATAAAAGCATGAGGAGCGAAGAATGTGACATGAAATTGCTTTTTGGTGCCTGACGTATGCCCTCCGTCCCAACTGAACAGAGAGATCGCTCCCACGCCGCCGAAATCCAATCCGGTCATTCATCCAACGCTTGCCCGAAAAGGAAAACAAAGCTGAGAGAGTTACACAGTGTGGCAGGAATGCAATCCCGGAGACAGTCACGCACCCCTTTCAAAGTAGCAAGAACCTTTCACAGGTGAACCTGTTCCAGCGGACAGGGCAGAAAACACCAGCGCAGCAAAAAGAAAGAAGTCACATGAGAGACAAATGAATAGAAATGCTACATGGCCAGCGGAAAAGGCGGCAGCACCAGTGACAGACCCGGGAAACAAATGAATAGAAATGCTACATGGCCAGCAGAAAAGCCAGCGGAAAAGGGCGGACACAGCAGTGACAAACCTGGGAAACAAATGAATAGAAATGTTGCATCGCCAACGGAAAAGGGCGGACACCACAAGTGACAGACCTGGAAGACAAATGATGAATAGAAATGCTACATGGCCAACGGAAAAGGGCGGACACCACCAGTGAGAAAAGGCGGACACCAGCAGTGACAGACCTGGGAGACAAATGAATAGAAATGCTACACGACCAGCGGCCTGTGGAAATGGGCGGACACCAGCAGTGACACAAAGGGCGGACAGCATCTTAAGAAAGAATTGAGAGCCCCTAAAAGTAAACCTGCGAAGCTACAAAACAAAAGCCAGCGCTTCCCTTTCTCGACAACTGCGCGTCGAAGCAATCAAATGAGCTCGCGCAGCCGCTTGCGGCCGCGTGTCAAATCTGCTTCATGTCTTGTTCTGCCCACACGTAGGTAACCATGCAAAAGCAAAAAGGTCACTCTTGCATCACCACCCGCTCCAAAATCACTACAACATCAACTCCAAGAGCTTACGTATACCTTTCTCGGGCCACCCTCCCCGACCCCCGACCGACTTCACACATAGATAATTCCCATCCACATTCAGATGAAGCAAAAGCCAAACAATGCACCAAAATTCGAGGTGGCCTGGGACCCAGAGGCTCGCTGCCCGAAACTATATGTTCAGGCCACCTCAGAAATGAAGATATGCGAAGCAAGGGTCCTGAGGTGTCTCTGTGACAAGGCTTTTGTTAAAACAGACAATTTTTCAAGCTAAATTCAAGGTGGCCTGAGACCAGGGTTTGCTGCCCTAAAACACTCTGTTCAGGCCACCTTAAAAATGAAGGTCTGCGAAGCGAGAGCAGAGGATGCACATTGTCCTTCTGCTGCTTGAATGCGGCCTTTTGTTTACTTAAAAGTTCAAGACCTCTGCACTTGACCGATTTCTGGTCCCTAGCCTCTTTCTCGACACAACGCAACTATTTGCGCGCATTTATGGCAGATATCGTATTGACACCTGTCACCACAAAGCTTTGATGCTTCGGCTGAAAATGAAACCTCGTCTTCGGGCGCATCCGCAGTCGGAAAAGCATCACACCATCCCGACTCAGGTGTTCTTAGACCCAACCTCCCCCCCTGAGGGGCCACAAAACCTTGCAAGACAGGCCTCACTATTTGCCCTTAAACACAAGATGTCTTTGGCGCAAGAAACCAAACTTGCTCACTCAGTGCTCTCTCACCACTGCCGCGCCATTGTCTGGAGTTGGTGGAGAAGTCACTCTTGCCATTTCAAAAGGTTATCGCCTTTAAAACGACTTTACGAGCTACTAGGCAAAGAACATGCCTATGTGCACATTCAGCATGAAGAAGTATGCCTGCTGTACGAGCAAAGTGCTGCCACTGAACTCCTCCAACCGTGGCAAATGCAGCAAGGATGTTTCTTGATACCGACCACTGTCAAAGCTGCAGCGCTACAAGCTGCAGAGGTCGCAGCTGCGGCCAATGTACACTTGCCACTTGGTGCAGAAAGCACTGATCCTATGCAGAGAACACAAAGACAGAAATTGTTCTGGGACAGGCTTAAGACAGTTTGTCCTAGGGGCACTTTCTACCATGGCCCCTTGTTACAACAGAATGGGCAAGAATGTCGAACCGCCCTAGAATATGACGAGGCCATGCTTGCAACGCGAGATTTTTGGTTTACTCACCCTGTACAATATGACAGTGAATGGCATAGCACGCTTGCGGCTTACCGACGGTGTGCCTCTCCGTGGCCGAGTATCCCCGAGCCTTCTGAACAAGACTACATTGAGCACCTCCTGCTCACCAAGGACTCGGCACCTGGCCCTGATGGGCTACCTTATGCCTTGTGGCGTTTGTTTCCGCAGCAAACAGCTATTATTTTGCGCGATGACTTTCATCAAATATTGTCTGGCACCTTAGTGCCACCTACCCAGGTCGGCGTGTGGATCCCCAAAGCCAAACAAGGGCCCACAGCGGACTTCTTTCGGCCGTTAGGTATGCCAGATACTCTCGACAGGCTGCAAGACGGTACAGCGGCTGCCATTCTCTTTCGCATCACGCGACACAGCTTCCATCCGGCCCAAACTCTGTTAAATTCCTTCCGAGAACCACAGAGAGCTGCGCTAGAAGTTCAAGGAGCCTTGGAAGGTTCTACTCCTGCCTCAGCGCTCTTTGCCGATCTTTCTAAGGCTTTCGAGCGGATTAACGCATATTGGATACTCCATATCCTTCGCATTCGTCAGTGCACCCCGTGGGTCCTTCAACTTGCGCGCTACCTGCTATTTGGCAGGCGCATCAGGCATAAAGTTCAAGGACGATTGTTACCTGCACGGAATGTTCATTCAGGTGTTGATATGGGCCGTTCTACTTCGGTCTACTTCTTTTGCCTGGCCATGGATCCAATTTTTGTCGTGCTAAATCAAATCCCACGGGTTTTTGCTGTCGCTGGCTATGTTGATGATACTACTATTGTTGGCCACCAAGAGGACCCACAGTGGATAGGGGAGGTCTTTAAGTACGTTAGGGCATGGAAGACAGCTGGCATTGTCATGGATGTTCATGACTGTTGGCAGGTTGGCTTCTCCAGCCAAGCCCTCACAGAGAACACCTTGCTCAAAGTTGCGGGCGTGTGGAGTCATGTCACCCCAATCCATGAACAAGGGCAAGCCACATGCAGTGCTGCTCTTCAGCTTGTCCCAAGCTATGCACGTCACTTTGTCCTTAGACATGGTGACCATTGTATACACATGTCATCTACAGACATCCCGAAGATGCCATCAGAAGGCCGCCCTTTGCTCTGCCGGCTAGCAGCGAGCCCCTGCCAGTGTCGTTCAAAGACGCAATTACTTACCAATGCAGAATACTCCTCCTGTCAATTATATCGTCTCGATCAAGCAGGGATTGGTGGCCAATGCATCGTCTCATCTACTGTTAACCTGGGCCTCACACTGCATACTGGTTGGACCTGTCAGCTCACGAGTGATGTCATGCTTAAAGTTCCACGGCATACATCTTTGACTGCCCTCTTGTCCAAACAAGTTGCGAAGTTCCGAACAAGGCTTGCAGCAGCAGACAGAGCTAACCTTAGCATTCATGCAAAAATCATATACGTTAACACCTTTTCGCTGAGTCTGTTTTACTATTCGCAAACTCACCGTTACTTTGCTCAGTCTCTTCTGCAACCGATTTATCAAGCCATGGCCAACTTTTTGCTTC